TAAATATATCTGTTCTCTCTTCTAGGCTGGCAAAATTCAGTTTGGCTACGTGTATGGGATTAGTGCAATTGGGTGTTTAGGAATGTTCTGTCTCCTGAATTTAATGAGCATGACAGGTGTTTCGTTTGGCTGTGTTGCCAGTGTCCTAGGATACTGCCTCCTTCCTATGATCATACTTTCCAGCTTTGCAGTAGTGTTTTCTTTACAGTAAGTATGGTTATCAAAGTTTTGTTAGGATGTCATACTGTTATATTGTACACTTCAGTGGTGGGATGAAAATAGCTTGTATTCACAATATTCTGGATATCAAAGATTCCTAAACACTTTAACTGAATATTTCTGTGTGTTCTTAGTGTATAAAGTATAGTATTCAGATCATAAAAATCTGAAAGACTTTCTAACGTGTGTGATAGAAGATATCTGTATGTTGCACACTACAGAATGTCTTTTCCCCCAGTGTAACTGTTCTCTCTGTGTTCCTGTAGTCCTTCCCTTAAACATGCTTAGAGATCATGGCTCTTTAGGTTATAACTTTTTAACTTCCTGGTAATTAGAGGAATTCCTGCTAATTAACCTAGGTTAATTCTTTTCTGGAGGTTTTAGCTTCCTTTACTAAATTCTAGATTTGGTGGGGGGGGAGTTAATGGGCAGAAATGTTTAATTAACTGCTTGCATATATTTTTGCAATTAGAAACGCCTTGCCTAATCTGCCTTGAGGATCTCATGCTCTAACACAGTTATTCCTCTTTACGCCAGAGGCTATAAAGGCTCAGTAGCAATGTGGATGGCCCAGGCTAGACTGATCCTGTCAGATCTTGGAAGCTAAGCAGGGTTGGCCCTGAGTAGTACTTGGATGGGAGACCACCAAAGAAGTCCAGGTCTGCTACTCAAAGGCAGACAATGGCAAACCACCTCTTTTAGTCTCTTGCCTTGAAAACCTTCCAGGGTTGCCCCAAGTCGGCTGTGACTTGACAGCACTTTCCATCACTACCACAACTAGAGAGAACTGAGCAGCAATATACCTGCTTCAATAGAACTGTTCATGAGTTACAGTGAACCCACATCCAGTCAGTGTCCACTTGATTTTTCTTAATAGATTCATTGAGTAATTCACATTACATTCAATGCACATACAGTTCAGTGTGTGACTGAAACCCCACATGGATCCAGGCACTGGTCCCCAGTTTAATTTGTAAAACAAACACTTGTTGGCTGTCCCTTACAACAGATGTACACACGCAGGTAAAATGTTTATGCGTTCACTGTAACAGGTGAATGGGTTTATAACCTCTACCGTTCCGGAAGAGTAGCTACGACAGAATCAGGAGCAAGTTAATTGTTGCAGTTTATTAAAATGCAAAGACAAAACCTGGTTTCCACGTTGCAAGAGATGACCCTGTTAATGTTATTTAATGTTTAAGAATGATTACATGAAAGCAAATAGTTGTATAAACTAGCATATGGTTTTTTACCATGTGTATTAAGGTGTGCTTTTAAAAAGGTAAAAATAAACAATAAAATCTAGAGACTGATAAGTTGCCAAAAGTGATTATATTAGCAAATATAAGCAGGTGTGTTGGCCCAGGTATCAGTCTGTTTGCCCAAAAACTATGTTTGAACAGCACCAAGGAGCTGTCTTCAGCTTTAATTAGCTGTAAGCTTTAAGTAAATCCTGTTGCACTGAACTGAGTAAATTAAAAATCATTGGGTGTATTGCTACAAAATCTTTCCACCTCCCCCCCTTCCCCCCCACTTCCTGAAAAAGTGCATTTCAGGCTATAACATCTGATAAACATAGAAGCAGTTGCACACAAAGATGTGAAACTGATATCTGATGTGTTAATTTTGTTTTTCAGAGGCATGATGGGAATAATTCTTGCTGCTGGAATTATCAGCTGGTGTAGTTTTTCAGCTTCCAAAATCTTCATTTCAGCCTTAGCAATGGAAGGACAGCAACTTTTAGTAGCCTATCCATGTGCTTTATTATATGGAGTCTTTGCTCTCATTTCTGTGTTTTGAGTGTGGTATCTTTACTACTGGACTGAAATGAGCCGAACTGAAAAGCCTCCACTTGGGACCCTTTGCTTGGGACCGGAAAGCAGCTGTTGAGTTGCTGTCATGAAAGGTTATTGCTTAAATTGTCTGATGGAGCCACAGAAATGAATGTGTGTTTTGTGTTCCTTTTTATAATATTCTTGAATTCAGTTTTGAATCGAGCTGTAATCTATAGTTGTCATACAGGTTCATGCTTATATTGTATAAAATGTAAAGGTCCCCCCCCCTCCCATTCTTCTAGTCTCTGGCAAAACATACTTGTTATGAAAACTTTTATAGTTTGTAAGTTTTTATAGGTAAGGAGAAATGAAATATTAAACATTGCTTTTGTTTCTCCCATGTTGCCACACAACAAAGGATACACATTCCATTTTTTGTACAGATTTAGTGAATTGAAAACATGTCAATACAACTTCCATCATAAAGCAAAGAAGGACGATCCTAAAAACACCTTTCTTGAGTTTACAGCACCTACTTAGCTCACTCTGTTTACAGTGAATGGTCCAGAGGGCTTTCCGGGCTCAACGGTTGACGATGTTTATATGTTTCAGTTTCTGTGTATTTTATATAAAGCTGAGAAGGTCTTGTTCTGAAGCTACAAATCAAGGGGTTGGCATTCAGTAGTTCATCAAAAAGCAAGCTGTGTCGCAAGTAACGAATTCGTCACTATTGTAGTCTAATACAGAATGCACAGAAAATCTTGGACTCTTAATAAATCAACTTCCCTACATTGTGCCCAAACTTGAATTGCCAAGAAGGTAATTTAACTAAATGATATGGGGCTTGTTCCCATTGGAGCAGGATTATGTTTAAACAATGGAAGGCTTGAATTCAGTAGAGTTTGCAAAAAGCTTCAAAATCCTGAACAAATAAGTAGCATTTTTAAAAACTTTCTAAAATGAGTTTCCATGCAAAAATCTTGTTTGTCAGATAGTATATTTGCTCTCCTTGTTTATTAAACTAGTGAAACAGAGAAGCTAACCTTAAAGGTATTTGTTGCAAGCTGGTAATAAATACTGGCTATCCCTTTTGGATTATATACATGAACCAATGTAACTTGTGAACAAATGCTTAATCTTGCACCTGTTTTTCTCCCCTTGTACCTCTACATGTTTCTCCACACAACCTGTTGTCATTTACCCAGCAGTTGCTGGCTAAACTCTTCAATAAATGATTTGCAGGAAATTCAGACAAGTTTGCACATTCAAATGTCAATCTTCATTAATCAAATGCCTTGTTCAACCATCCTCTTATTTTCCAATATAGTTTTAGCACAATAAGGATCAGACACCTTATAAAATCATAAGAGTTGGAAGGGACCTCCAGGATCCCTGGCCAAACTGGTCTGGAGAAGAATTGCTTCCTGACCCCAAAGTGGCAATTAGCATTTCCTTGGGCATGTAAGAAAGGTCCACAAGAACTAAGCACTGAGGCAACCCTTCATGACCTCCCTCTCATGATCTGACTAAGAAGTCTTATGTATATTTTTCTGTCTCATTGAAAGGTAGCTGACTATTCTGATTCTTGTACGTTTTTTATTCAGAGGGCTGAATTATGCTACCCCTGCTGGCTTTGACTCTACTTTCTCTTCTTACAAAACCTTATCCACTGCAGTGCTGGCTTCAGCTCCACTCTCCCTCTCCCCACCTTGTGGTGGCTACTGCCGTTCAGTTCGGCATCATTTGAAATTGGTGCAGCTCTTAAGGAGGCAGGGGAGGTTCTTTACAGCAGATTTTTCTCTAAGCCACAGTGTTCCTTCCAGTTTGCAAGGCCCTATGTTGTAGCTTTGTATGTGTGTTTTGGGTAATCCACATGGGGGCCATCCTTTAACTATTAGTTTTTAGGACTGTGATGAGGATTTTGTGCCTTTGATGCCATCTAGCAAGGAGCTTGGCTCCTGCAGGTTCCACAGCTGGTGAGGCAAGCAAAGTTTCATTTAGCAATGCTTTGTCTTGCTATCTCTGGAATGTGCAGCAAGCAAACACAGTGTGAAGACCATTTCTGTACCTCCTTAACACACATCTTTAGATTTATGCTTGTGCAAAGAGAATCACACGGAGAACCATGATAACACAGTTTTGAACATTAATACTGCTGAAGTGAGGTGTTGACACACTGTATGTAGCTAAAACCTTTCCAATTTAAGAAACAGGCTAGAGTTGGTTGGATTACAATCAGGGGTCGTTTCGTAGAAAAAGAGCTAGGGGAACTCATTAGCATAACTCATTAGCATATGCCACACACCCTGACCTCCCCGGAAGTGTGTCATAAGGCCACACACCCCACCCCCAACAGTCCCGGCCGTCGCCGCTGGTCTTGCAGCTCCACTGCCAAGCCCCATGAGGGGCCCAGCAGTGGACCTGCAAGGCCGGCAGGAGTGCAAGGAAGCCCTGCGAAGGCCCTCCCTGGCCCCAGGCAGGCAGGGGTGGGGAGAGGCAGGGAGGAAGCAACTTACCCTCCCTCTTCTCCTGCCTCCTCCTGGCTGAATGAGGGCCGGAAGCGGGGCGGCCGGAAGTGGGGGGGCGTGGCTTCGTAATGTGCCCCGCCCCCCCGTACCTCACCCGGGGAACTGCGATCCCCCCCGAAATGACCTCTGATTACAATATGTTGTTTTCTGAGGTGATATAGCTCCTTAAGTTCTTAAGACAGGGGTGTCAAACATATGGCCCGAAGGCCCGAACCAACCTGTTTATGGCTGTTACCCAGCCCATGAGCCACTGGTCATGACCTTTATTGCCAGATGACAGAGGCTGTGCATTATGTCCCTGCATACTGTCCCAGTACTAATGAGTACTGGGCAGTGGAAGTGGGAAGGTGGGCATCGGAGGTACTGTAAACGCTTTTAAGCATGTTTGTATTTTGAGTAAAAGATAATATTGTTAATTGGGCTTGCCTGTCTCCTTTATAAAGGTTATATCTCTGGTACATGGCATTACATTTCATGGCCCAGCCCAACAAAGTGACATTTATGTCAGATCCGTCCCTTGTAGCAAATGAGTTTGACACCTCTGGTCTAAGACCACCACCCCTTTGGTTCAGACTCTGAGTACATTTGAATAAAAATAAGTTTGCAGTGATTTCAATTAGTCTACCAACTTTCGACAAATGTTTTTAAATCCTATCTTGTGATCCAAGGTGTCCTTTTTAGTACATAAGCGAAAATGGGTTTCTCCGCCCCCCTTTCAGGTTCAAGTTCCAGAAGTTTCAGTCATTTGTCCCACTGTTGGACATTTGTTGCATGGTAGTTCCCCATGAAAGCTTCCCATGCAGCCTTTGGACTCCGTTGGCAGGCATTAATCCAGTACTAAGTTCCCTGTACATGAATTTCAATGGCCCTTGGATATATATGATTACTAGATATTGTGGCCAGTAGAAATCTTTTGGAAGTATTAATGTTCTGTTTACCATAACCCTTTGTTATATAAAAAGACCCCGAACTACACAGGAAAACTTAACAAACTGTTCTAAAAACATTAATTTTAACTTTTACCTAGGTCTAGATGATTAAGAGGAGCTGCGGTGGCTCAAGTGGTTAAGATGCTGAACTGCAGGCTGTGGAAGGTCAGTAGTTCAGTAGTTCGAGACCCGGGTTGCCACAGGACGGAGTGAGCTCCCATCTCTAGTTCCAGCTCCTACCAACCTAGCAGTTTGAAAGCAAGAATTGCAAGTAGATAAATAGGTACCACTCCGGTGGGAAGGTAACAGCGTTCCATGCGCCTTGGTGTTTAGTCATGCCGGCCACATGACCACGGAAACGTCTTCGGGCAGCGCTGGCTCTTCGGCTTTGAAACGGAGATGAGCATTGCAACCCTAGAGTCGGACTCGACTGGCTTTCGAGCAAGGGAACCTTTACCTTTTTAGGTGATTAAGGCTTTGCATTGTAACTTTGATCCTCCTAGTCAAACTAAAATCTGCAATTGTGAATAGCAGGTTTCTAGCTGGAAATTGTTTAAAAATACTTTTCACCTTTCATTTTTATTATCACAGTGCGCCTGCCCTAGTGCATAGGGTTCCTACTCTGTTTTAATGAAGAACATTATCTGCTCATGGATCACGATGTCCTGTTTAGTTGCACAAATTAAAATAATTACTTTTTCAGATGAGAACTAATTATTCAAAACTGTTCTAATAAATATGAAAACTCAAATTCTTTCTTGAGCACATTAGGTTCTAATAGACTAGGATATTGTATTTTTGTGAGCTACGCTAATCATTTCTACTTCGGATCTTTTTTGGATAATTAGCTTAACTTGCAGCTAACATGGATGTTAAAAATTGAATGTTTGAGGTATTAATACTTCTACTGGACAAAAATACTTGAAAAGGAAATGCATCCCTTGTGAATATTTGAACATACTGTTGCTGAGGTTAATGTGGTCCTGTGCAGAGTTACTCCAGTTTATCTCCCTTGATATCAGTCTTCAGGGTCAACAGTGGACGGAAGTGCTGCGACTGCTGTGCAGTTAAAGCTATTCTTTAAAAGCCCTTTATTCGATGCACATAAAAACTGCATGCCCCTAGAAGCAAAGGTACTCACATAAAGCTGACTATCCTTAGTACGGAGTATTCCCATGACATGGAGTAAGTTTGCAGGAAAATATGTAGGAAAGGAGCATTAGGAACCCAACCAGATAAACCAACAAATTCACCTAGTGGAGCAGGATTTGAACTAGGAGTTATAAATTGAAATGGGAATACCCCTTCAAATTAGCAAAAATAGTAAACATGCATTTTAACTTGAGAATTATAGGATGGAATGGTAGCTAGCTTGTCATGAAGCCTTACTGAGAGCAGTCAGGGTCACTTTTGTGTAGAAAGGAAAACCAGTAAGTCTTCAACACGTGCTTAACACTTTCCTGTTGAAAATTATGTAATTGTAGCATTTTTATATTTGGCTGCATCTCGTACTTAATTCTTTTAAACATGTATACATTGTCTCTCCATCAATTCCAAGTGCCTTGGGTGATGTAGAAAGCATAAAAATCATTCATAAAAATTTGCACAGACTTTTCTATATTTAGTCCCTTATTTGCAGAGTGCTTCCAGTTCTGGCTAAACATGCTAATTTAAATTTCTGCTGTTTGTCTTCCAGACACTTCAAATATATAGGTATCATTTCTGTAGGGTTTTTTTTTGCATGCCCTTAGCCAAAGTGTAAAAAACTTTATTCTCGATTCTCGATTCTCTCAGTGGGAGGAAGTAAGGAAAAAAGGATGTGTAAACAACTAGCTAAGCTGGTTGTCACGGGAGAAAAACAGTAGCAGACAACCAGCAGAAAACGAATTGATTAAAGCTTGATTCCAAAACTGTACTCCACATTGTAGAGATACATTATACGAGGGCACTAAAGTTGTGAGAGTCCAAAGCATAAACAAATTGTGTGGATTTTCAGCCACTGACAATTTTGAGTAATAATTTTTAAAAGGCCATATTATAAACAGTGACTTGTATCCTAAACCTTTATTCTGTTTCCACACTGCCATGCCATCCAACACCACAGAGACAGTGCACCACTGCAAAGCACATTTGTCCAGAACTAACTGCTTTCAGCTCATGCAAGACCATTATCTTACAATGAATAAAAAGCACCTATTGCCAGAGGAAATCCCCAATGCCTCCCCAATGGAGGGCAGCATTGTGGAAATGAAGAAAAGGTTTTTGATCCAGGTGAGAGAAATCTGTAGCTGAGCTCAGTAGCTAGCAGTGCCAAATAATACCACAGTAAAACCAGGTCAGGGGCTGTGGTTTGAATAGTCAATATGGAGGGTTCTAGGAAAAAAGCCCACAGGAAAAAAACCAGTCATAAATGCTCATGGGGGAAAAGCCCATTGTGGAAAAATGCCCACATGGAAAAAAGCCCATACACATAAAAACCCACATGGAAAAATACCATGTAACGCGCCATAGATATTTATAATGGTGGATAACCATCTTCTATTATGAGAATGAATAGGTAACCTATATATATATATTTGTCTTATGCGTTGGCCATATCCAGCTCTCCCACTGGCTCTGCTATGCACTCCATCAGCCATTAGCCCATCAATCACCACTCAAGAGTAACTCATGTGCCATTGGCTGGGTGCTGGGTCTGCTTCTTTCCCCCGCCTACTTCCAGCCTGGACACTCTTCCCTCAAAGAATTAACTATCAAAACAGCTGTCTCTCCTGACGAAAGTACTTCTGC